AGAACTTGGGGGCGGAGGCAGCAGGTGGTGTAGTGGTAAAGGCACTGGACTCCCACATGGCTGACATGACTTGTGTTTCGAGTTCTGGACCCAGTCGCTTAAAACTCACACCAGGCACATGTGTATGTGTGCCCAAAGTCCTGAGAGGAGAATGGAGGAGAAGGGATTTTGGCATGGCCATTCCCCCAGGGGGTGATTTCTTACTCTCTCTTTCACTCTGGCAAGTACACATGCCCTATAGCAAAAATCTTAATATGAAAAAAAGAAAAGAGAGAATGTGGGACCAGAAAGTGGTGTGTCTAAGTCAGCTGGATCCCACATGGCCGACTGCACAGTTTTAGTCCTGGACCCTGTGGCTTGAAAAACATGCCAGGCACATGTGTGTATGTGTCCAAGATTCTGAGAAAAGAATGGAAGAGAAGGGATCATGGTGTGGCCATTAACCCTGGGGAGTGCTTTCTCACTTTCTCTGTTTTCAGGTACATGAGTGTACCTGCTCTATAGCAAACTTAAAAAAAAGAGTATGAAAACTTTCAGAAAACAGTTCATGTGTAGTTAGAGCCACAGGGCAGGAACTATAAGGAGAGGTTTGAGATGGAGGCTTTTCCAAAAGATAGTAGACAGTATATAGACCAGAGAGGATCACATTTAATAGGGGGAAAGTTTAGTCATGATCGGTGACCCTAGAACAGCACAGATTTGAACTGCATGGGTCTTTTTTTTGGAGAGGTTTTTGCTATAGGGCATGTGTGCTCACCAGAAAATTGTCTCAGAAGGTATTTTCCTGGTCAGTTGATTTTAACACTTCTACAAAAGTATAAGAGTTCCTGTTATTCCACAATCAGTTATAGTAACTAACTTGGTGCTGGTGTTCTGATTCAGAAAAATTGCATTTTTATTCAAGTACCTAATGTAACTAAAGCTACATTTCTTTTTTTTTAAATTATTTTGAATTTTATTTATTTATTTATTTATTTTATTTTGACCAGAGAGAGACACAGAGAGAAAGAGAAAGTGAGAAAGCAAACCACCAGGTCCAGGACTTGAACCATGGTCAGCCATGTGGGAATGTCCAGCGCCTTAACCACCACACCACTTGCTGGTCCCCCCTTTTTTTCTTAACTGACCCTCAAATTTATTAATTTTTTATCTTGTTTCCTTCATCTCTTTTAAAAAAGAATTATTTATTTTAGTTTACATATCATTTTTATTTTTAAATTTACTATAGGGCATGCATGCTGACCAGAGAGAGACAAAGAGAGAAAGTTAGAAAGCAAGTTGCCAGGTCCAGTACTCAAACTGTGGTTGACCATGTGGATTCTAGCATCCCAACCACCACGCCACCTGCTGGCCTCAAATTTATCACTTTTTTTTTTAAGAGGTTTTTGCTATAGGGTGTGTGCACTTGCCAGAGAGACAGAAAGCGAGAAATCACCCCACAGTGGGGGATGGCCACGCTGCAGTTCCTTCTCCTCCATTCTCCTCTCAGGATCTTGGGCACGCACGCACATGTGCCTGGCATGAGTTTAAGCCACTGGGTCCAGGACTTGAACCGCAGTCGACTACATGGGAGTTCAGTGACATAGCCATTACGCTAACTGCTGGTCCCAAATTTATCACTTTTTAAAACCATCGTTTTCCCCCCAAAGTGAGGAAATAAGTAAATCCAGCATCTATGCATTTTCAAATTGAAGACTTGATTCCAGGATGCGCCTTTTCTCTCAAACCAAGTTGGTTCCCTGAGAGCCCAGTGGTGGTAAATGGCTTGAGGCCTCCTCTGTGCTGAGTTTCTTTCTTTCTTTTTTTTTTTTTTTCTATTAAAAACAACTTTTTTCTTTTTTAAAGAATTGTTTTATTTTACTTTATTCATTATTATCATTATTATTTTCCAGTTTGATCAGAAAGAGACAGAGAGAGACAGAGAGGAAGTAAGAAAGCAGACCACCAGGTCTGAGACTTGAACCATGGTCAGCCATGTAGGAGTCCAGCACCTTTAACCACCATGCCACTTGCCAGCCCCTGTGCTGAGTTTCTTACTCTCCCTCTCCTGAGTTTTAGAGATGGGCTCTGCAGGTTTTTGTGCTGTCCCAAAGTTGTCCAGACTTGATTTAGCTTCTGCGTCTGATTTCAGGTGAGCAGGACTCCTGTGTTCTTGGTGGCTTCCTCAGGTTCCTCTCTTTGCTCTATTGCCCCAGGTGATGTTCAAACATTATCTAGAGCTCTTTCATAGTGGGCATGGTCCTTGTCATTTTCCTGTCACCATGGGAACATTTCTAAAGTGTTCTTGAGAGTCTCTTGGGAATCTTTTTTTTTTTTTTTTTTGGAGAGGTTTTTGCTATAGGGTACGTGCACTCACCGGACAGACAGAGAGAGACAGAGAGACAGAAAGCGAGAAATCACCCCCCAGGGGGGATGGTCACGCCGCAATCCCTTCTCCGTTCTCCTCTCGGGATCTTGGGCACGCACGCATACGTGCCTGGCGTGAGTTTTAAGCTACCAGGTCCGCGACGTGAACCGCGGTCGACTACATGGGAGTCCAGCGACATAGCTATTATGCTAACTGCTGGTCTCGGGAATCTGTTTTTTATTTGTCTCTGGGGAATGATCAGCACCAGAGTGGCAGGAGTGGGACTCACCTTTAAGTCTGCCCTGTGCTACCTTGGAGTCAAGGTGTGCCTCCAGGAGTGGAACCATGATCTGAATATTCCAGGGACTGTTGTCTTGCTCCATGGCTGTGGTGGCAACCATTTTGGCTGGATTGGCACTGTGGTAGGAGAGAAGGCAGCAGGACATGGGACTGGGGTAGGCCAACTTTTTCTCTTTGCTCTGGCACTCCAGGAGTATGTTATTAGCAGTTAAGTGTTAGCAGAATGAATAGTTATATGTGGATTGTCAGCTGTGTGGGGAATTGATGGTACTAACCTCTGCTTTGTTCAAAGGTCACCTGTCATTACCTAGGCAAGGGGGTGAGGTAGAGCCAAGGACTGGCTGGGTATCTTTCTTGTGGGAAGTTGTAGGATATGGTCATGCAGAGAGGTGTCCTTGGAGAGTGAAAGAGAGTATAGTCTAGCATATGTCTAAGGCTTCTCAGGATTAAGTGGCTCTGAAATGGATGTGGAGGCATAGGAATAATTCAAACAAGGTAATACCAGCTTAGTCAGTGCTCCATAGACTCACCAGGATTTTTGTGATAAAAAATCTTGGGTTTGTCTTGGGTGTTTCAGTCAGGTTAGTAGATTAGCTTAGGGGCATAAGTGACCATATGTGAGACTCTCTGGACCTGAGGGAGAGAGCCAGTGGACTTGAACCTTGAGTGAGAGTTATTTGGTGAGAGGAAGGCTAACTGGTGGCACAGCAAGTGAAGCCCAGAAGTAGAAGAGGACCATAAGTAGTTCTTGGTGAGTGAGATAGAAGCAGGGTTCAGAGTCAGAAAGAGAAGTCTTCAAGGCTGCTTCTATCATTAGAGGCCATCAGAGGCCTGAGGTAGTATTGCATCCTATTTGAACTTGCCAGCCATTTTCTGGGCTCCATGAGCCAAGAAATCAGTGGGAATATAATAAGCAGGGGATAGGGGGGTGTCTAGGGGATTATACAATTGAGGTCCTAGGAGAAAAGCTAATCATGAAATGAATTATCCCCATTGAGGATGTGGCCATTTATTTCTCCCAGGAAGAGTGGGAACTTCTTGATGAGGCTCAGAGGCTCCTGTACTGCTATGTGATGCTGGACAACTTTGTACTTGTAACATCCCTAGGTAACGCCCTCCTTACTCTCCCAGCATCTCTGCCTTTCCTTTTTACCCCAGAGTCAGGAATATTATTGTTAGACTATTAGATTTTGTCTTGGTTGTCCTCTCCTTATCAGGGTGACTATGTCTAGATCATGGTGCCTATGTTCCAGTTTCTGCCCCTATTCCTTTGTCTATTACATCCTGTGGCCTTCTGTGCCAGGAATTGCAGGCATTGTTATGGTCACTATTTACACAAACCATGAACTTTTCTTTCAAAACTGTTCTTTGAGTGTTTTTCATAATTTTTTCCCCTGCATACTATGATATACCAAGTTGCTCTGAGCCAGTACTGGTTACTTAACTGTTGTCACTTTCCTTGAGACTTGCATCACTCGTATCCCATGTGGTTCCACAGAGAGGGATACAGGGACAACCCTGGTTGTTTCACAGGATAGACATAGCAAGATAGTCCAGAGGAGGCCTAGTGCTGGTGAATAGTTGTGTTCAGATCATATCAGGAGCAAAAAACCGTATCCAGCAATGTTTTGAGGCAAGTGCCACTGGCCATACCTCATTTTGACTTTTGCTTCCCCATATTTGCTGACTTCTCATTGTAACTGTCACACATCACCAGCGGACAGTGTCCTCCTTAAGACTATTGTCAGAGGAGTGAGTTGGATACCTTGCTTCTCCTCATGTACTATACTCCGTTCTTGTGTCCTTTTTGTGATAAGTTCTCCCCATATGGTTATCTTCAAAGACCTGTTACTTAAAAGCAGCCCTTTTCAGCCTACCCCCAGCTCCCTTGTTCTCAGAACAATCCCATGGACTCGTTACTTGTTGTGTGCCACACATTTTGATAGGGCTTTCTCCTCCTGCCAACATGCATTTTATTGGCATTTCTCTGATTTCAGATTACTTCTATGGAAAGAAGGATGAGGCGATACCTTCTGAGCAGAGTATATCTGTAGAAGGAATATCACAGGGTAGGACTTCTAAAGCACACTTACCCACCCAGCAGACTCATCTCTGTAAGGTGTGTGTCCCAGTCTTGTTGAAAGACATTTTGCACCAGTCTGATCACCAAACATACTTTGTGCATAAATCATGCTTGGGTGACACAAGTGTAAGAGATTTTAGTGCAAATCTTCACCAGCATCAGAACAGTTACATTGGAGAAAATCTCTGGCAAAGGAATGTGGACAGGGGTTCATTTGTGATGAGCTGCAGATTCTATGTGTGAGTGAATCCCTTTGTACATAGAGAGGATCGTGAGGACTTCCCAGCCACCATGGGCTTTCTTCAACACCAGGCTACTCCCAATGGTAAGAAGCCACACAGTAGCAGCACCAAGTGTGGGCAGCCATTGTGCAGTGGAAAAACTCATTACAAGTGAAGTGAATGCAGAAAAGCTTCAAGCCACAAACAAGCACTTGTTCAACATCAGAGTGTTGCTCTGGAGAAGAGCTTTATGAATGTAGCAAATGTGAAAAATCCTTTACCTGCAAGTATACACTTGTTCAGCACCAGCAAATTCATACTAGACAAAGGACATATGAGTGTAATGAATATGAAGAGTCCTTTAGCTACGAGTCCAACCTCATTGAACACCGGAGAGTTCACACTGGAGAAAGGCCTTATGAATGCAGTGAACATGGGGTCTTTTATTCACAAATCTGAGCTCATTCACCAACAGAGACATTATATTGGAGAAATACATTATGAGTGTGGTGAATGTGGAAAATCCTTTAGCTGTAAGTCTAACCTCATTGAACATCAGAGAGTTCACACTGGGGAAAGGTCTTATGAGTGCAGCGAGTGTAGGAATCCTTTAGACAAAGGTCTAGCCTCTTTCGACACCAGAGAGATCACACTGGAGAAAAGCCTTATGAGTGCTGTGACTGTGGAAAATCTTTTAGACAGCTCTTCAGTCTTATTCGACACAGGAGAGTTCACACTGGAGAAATGTCTTATCCATGTAGTGATTGTGGTAAAGCCTTTAGCTGCAAATCTGAACTCATTCAACACCGGAGAATTCACAGTGGAGAAAGACCTTATGAATGCAACAAATGTGGGAAGTCTTTCAGACAATTCTCTAACTTTATACGACACCAGAGTGTTCGCACTGGTGGTAGGCCTTATGAGTGCAACAAATGTGAGAAATCCTTTAGCCGCAAATTTATTCTGATAGAACACCAGAGAGTTCACACTGGAGAAAGACCATGTGAGTACAATGAATGTGGAAAATCCTTTACCCGCAATTCTGACCTCATTCAACATAGGAGAATTCATACTGGCTTAAGACCTTATGAGTGTAGTGAATGTGGAAAATCCTTTAGACAATGCTCTGGCCTCATTCAACACCAGAGAGTCCATGCTGGAGAAAGGCCTTATGAGTGTGATATATGTGGAAGATCCTTCAGCCAAAGTGCTAGCCTCATTCAACATCAGAGAGTTCACAAGACCTTATGAGTGTCCTGAATGTGGGAAATCCTTTAGCCAAAGCTCTAGTCTCATTCAGCACCAAAGAGGACACACTGCATGGAGAAAGACCTTATGAGTGCAGCTAATGTGGGAAACCCTTTTCCCACAGATCTGACCTCATTCAGCATCAAAGAGTTCACACTGGAGAAAAGCCTTATGAATGCAATGAATGTGGGAAATCCTTTAGCCGCAAATCTAACCTCATTCGACACCAAAGAGTTCATATGGAAGAAAGACCTTAAGTGTGTACTGATGAATGTACTGATTCTTTACTAAGTATCTAACAGTGATGAAGACTGTATGGGATACATCTACATTAAAAAAAATTATTCAGGGACCAGCAGCTGGTGTAGTGGTTACATTGCTGGACTCACACATGGCCGGCCATGGTTCCAGCCCAACCTGGCAGTTTGAATCTCACACCAGGTTCATATGTGTGCATGTCCAAAATTTCAAGAAGAGAATGGAGGGGAAGGGGTTGCAGTGTGGTCATCCCCCTTAGGGGTGATTTCTAGTTTACTCTCTCTCTGTCTCTTCAGTGAGCATACATGCCCTAGAGTAAAAATCTCTCTCTAAAATAAAAAGGAAAGGAAATTCATCTGAACATCCATAATGGGAGAATTTAAATAAATTTCAGTTACATGGGAAGCTTTGGGGAAATTCATTGTAGTTTCTAATGTGCCCAGGGCTATAGCCTGATTTATGTCATTTGCCAGTTTCTGTGGTAGAAACCATTTTACCTCTCCCACTTGGCAGGCCCACATCACATGGCATGAGTCACTCCCCATTGTGATCAGAGAAGCAAACCTCTGTACCCCCTTCCATTTGGGGAAAATTATAAATAGTTTGAGTCCTTAGTGGGTCCTTACTTCCTTCTGTCTGACTTTATGGAATGGACTTGATCTAGTTTTGGCCCAGAGGATTGGATCTGAGTTGTGCTGTTAGCTTGCTAATAAGGATTACCATTTTCAGGGACATTGTTGATCTCATATGCTTGTGATAAGTTCTTCCAGGTTGTAGTGCCCAGAAACTACTTTCTGTACAGTGCTCTGGTTTCTGATGTTCTTGTTCATTGAGGTGACTTATAAGCAGAATGGTGATGTCAGCATAAAGGGATGAACAGATTTTGTGGAGTTTCCAAATTCTGTACTTCAGAGAGGACAGTATTTATGATGTTAGAAAATTTGCATTGCCACCCAACACCTCAATGGAAACACTGCTGAGTTTCATATTCCTAATTTGTGACTTGGTGCCAGAATTTTTCTGAGATCAGAAGTTACAATGAAAAGAGTGTTTTGTGGTTTGATGGCTGAAGCAGCATCTTTTACAGCTGAATCTCTTTCAGCTTCAGTGCAAAAGTGGCATGCACAGTGCTAGGTCAGGTGGTGCTACCTGGTGAGGAGCTGCAGCTGCTGCTGGAACAGGAAGACTTGGGATGCCCTGGTGGTGCAAGGGAGGGACTGTTATGTTTGAATCCTGGTGCATGTGTGTACACAGATGCACATAGGGCCTGCGGCACTGTGGGACTGCCTGCTGGTTATCAAATGCAGTAGCCTCAGTCTTAAGGAACCCACCAGCAGCAGCAGTGGTGGTGTTTACTGAATGGGCTTGCAGCAAAAGCAGTATGTTCTAGTGAAAGGAGACGACATGTTTGGTAAAGTGACACCTAAATCTGGAGATATAATCAAAGATGGGTTGGAGGAAGTGAGCCAGCTTCTTTGTCTTTTTTTTTTTTTTTTGCATATATACAGAACTTAAAATAGAGAGTCAACAAATGGCATAATGGTTAAGGCAGCTAGATCCCAAATGGTTCCATGAGTCCCAGATTCGGTGGCTTGAAAAACACGGGCATGTATGCCCAAGATCCCAAGAGAAGAATGTGAAATAGCCAGCGCCCATGGGGAGTGCTTTCTTACTTTTCTTTCTCTCTAGTAAGTACTCAAACTCTCTAGAAAACAAACAAACCCACAAATATGCTCTTATTCACAAATCCTTTGATGAAAAAACAAGTTTTTGTTGTTGTTTGTTTGTTTGTTTTTTAGTGTTCTCTGCTGATTAGAGTTCTTTTTAAAAAATCTATTATGTACCATGTGTATACAATATACCATGTAACCCACTGTAAGTGGAACCAGAAGTTAAAGAACCCTGCACACAGTGTACTGTCAGGGCAGAATTCTAGACTTTAATTTTCTCCCCAGTCTTTCACAGTTGCTTTGTACACACCTAATTCAAAAGTATTTTAAAAAATGACTCATCTAAGTCTTTCAGAAATATCCAATTTGGTTTTCACTGAAACAATTTTCTTTCCCTTTTTTTTTAACTTGTAAATTTACCCAACATGAATACAGTTCATACCAGTTCAGTTGAAGATACCATACATGCTCTTGTCAACAGATAATCATCCACTTTCAGTGTCCCATAGATGTCTTGCCTTTATTTTTCTCCTTTATTCTTTTCCTTTCACTCTTTAAAAAAAAAATATTTATTGACCTTTTATTTATTCATTCATTTTTAATTTGACCAGAGAGATACACGCAGACAGAAAGTGAGAGAGAAGATGAGAAAGCAAGCCGCCAGGTCCAGGACTTGAACCGTGGTCATCCATGTGGGAGCATCCAGCGCCTTAACCACCAGGCCACCCCCTGGTCCCTCCTTTCACTCTTAACCTCTTCCCACACTGTCTCCAATTTCCATAACCATTTTCCATGCTTTTCTATACACTAGTCTTTCAGTTTCCACCGTAAGAATGTGGACAGTCAGTATATATTAAGTGGAGACATACAGTGTCTCTCTTTCATAGCCTGGCTTGCTTCACTCAGCAGTAAATCTTCCACAATTCATCCATTTTCTATTAAATGCCAGGGTCTTGTTTTCCATGGCTGAGTTGTATTCTATGAGTATATGCGCCACACTTTTTCAGTCTAGTCATCTGTTTGTGGACGTTTGGGTTGGTTCCATGTCTTAGCAATTGTGAATAATGCTGCAATAAACATAGATGTGCGAGCACTTTTCCAACTGAGTGTTTTCCTATCCTTCGGGTAGATACCCAGGAGAGAAATTGCTGGATCATATGGTAGTTCTATTTGTAGATCTTTGAGGAACTTCCATATTGTTCTCTATATGGGCTACACTAATTTACATTCCTACCAACAGTATAGGAGAGTTCCTTTTTCACCACAGCCTTGCCAGCACTTAAAATTTTTTTTTCTTTTTTTAAAATCTTAGCCATTCTGACTGGGGTTAGGTGGCATCTCATTTTAGTTTTGATTTGCATCTCCATTTTGATGATGGATGTTGATGAACATTTTTTCATACTCTTTTTGGCTGTTTGTATGTCTTAGAGAGTTGTTTGTTCAGTCATTTTCCTATCTTTTAACTGGGTTGATTTTTTTTTTTTTTTTTTTTTTTTTTTTGGGTATCTGCGAGTTGTTCCCTGTGTATTCTGGTTTTCAGACCCTTATCTGAGGCATAGTTTACAAAAATATTCCTCCTTTCTGAGGGTTTTCAATTCACACTAATTACTGTGTCTTTTGCTGTGTAGAAAATTTATCTGATGTAATCCTACTTGTCTCTTTGGGATTATTGCATGCACTTTGGGGAGGTTCTTATTTAAGAAATCTTTGCCTACTCCAACATCTCCAAGGGTTTCCCCAGTGTTTTCCAGTAGTAGTTTTATAGTTTGAGGTCTTAGGTTTAGATCTTTGATACACTTTTGAGTTGATTTTTGTTGATGGTGAGAGGGAGTGGTCCAGATTAATCTTTCTGGAGGTGGATACCCAGTTTTACCAGCACTGTTTGCTAGAGAGATTTTCTTTTTCCCACTGGATTGACTGGTGTCCTTTGTGAAAGATCAGTTAGCTGTATGTTTTGGGGTTTATTTCTGGGGTCTCTGTTCTATTCCATTGGTCCACGTGCCTGTTTTTGTGCCAATACCATGCTGTTTTGATTATCACAGTTTTGTATATATTTTGGAGTAAGGGAGTGAGGTGCCTTCTACTCCACTCTTGTGCAGGATTGCTTCAGCAATACAGGTTCTTTTATGATTCCAGACAAATTCTAGATCTCTGAAGAATGTCTTTGGTAATTTGATTGGGATTGTGTTAAATATGTTGATTAATTTGAGTAGAATTGCCATGTTGATTATATTAATCTTCCAATCCAGGAACATGGGATGTCCCCTCACTCTTTTGTGTCATTTTCTATTTCTTTTTCTATATTTTCATACTTTTTCTTGTAGAGATCTTTGACTTCTTTTGTTAGATTTACTCCTAAGTATCTTATACTTTTTGTGGTTATGGTAAATGGGATTACTTTCTTCAGTTCTACTTCAGTCTACTTGTTGTTCATATATAGAAATGCTGTCGATTTTGTATGTTGATTTTGTATCTTGCCACTTGACTGTATTTATTACTTCTAGGAGTTTTTTTGTGGCTATTTTTGGGTCTTCTATTATACAGTCATGTCATCTGCAAATAGAGATGATTTCATCTCTTCTTTCCCTGTATGAATGCCTTCTATTTTATTTTATTTATTTTTCTGATTGCATTGGCTAGAACTTCCAGCACTCTACTGAAAAGGAGTGGAGAAAGTGGGCAGCCTTGTCTTGTACCAGATTTTAGTGGAAAAGCTTTCATCTTTTCCCCATTCAGTATGATATTGGCTATGGGTTTTTCATACATGGCTTTTATTATGTTGAAAAATGACCCTTCTATGCCAATTTTGCTGAGAGTCTTAATCATGAAAGGTTGTTGTATTTTGTTGAATGCATTTTCTTCATCAATGGATATGAACATTTTTAAAAAATCTTTCTTTCTGTATTATGTTTATGGTTTTTCATATATTGAATCACCCTTGAATCTCTGGAATAAAGCCTACCTAGTTGTGATGTATAATCATTTTTATATGTTGTTGGATACAGTTTGCTAGTATCTTATGAATTTTTGCATCTATATTCATCAGAGATATTAGTCTGTAATTTTCCTTTTTTGTCATGTCCTTATCTGTTTTGGGAATGGGGGTGATGGAGGCTTAATATAATGAATTTAGGAGGGTTCCTTCATTTTGGATCTTTAGAAATAATGTGAGTAGACTGCCAGGCACGTGTTTGTACATGCCTCTGGCGAGTGCACGTTCCCTATAGCGAAACATCTCTCAAAAAAAAAAAAAAAAAGAGAGAAAGAAAGAAAGAAATAATGTGAGTATAATGGGGGTTAATTCACCTTTAAAAGTTTTGTAGAATTCATGGGACCAGCAGATGCCATAATGGTTATGTCACTGGACTCCCATGTAGTCGACTGTGGTTTGAGTCCTGGACTGTGTGTGTGTGTGTGTGCCCAGAATCCTGAGAGGCAAATGGAGAAGGGATTCTAGTGTAG